GTACGTCCGAAACCCTGAAAGGGTTAAAAAGAGAGACTTTCATTTTTCTTTTTGGGCCACCCTGCCTCGGTGGGATACGGTCGGTTTGTTGAAAGATGATGATGATTTCATAAGGCTTAACTACTATCTTTATATAACTAGCAGCAGTGTACTAGTGAGCTATTTTGTAATATGTGAAATGTGTAGAAGGAAGTTTGTGTGCTGTATATAATGTTAGAGGTAATATAGTATATTTTCATAAAGGTGAGTTTATCTGCCTTTCCTGGTAATTAGCTGTAAAGTATTGACCACTTATTTAGCATTATTGTGAAGTTACAAGTGTAGCCCTATGATATATTTTTTATTTTTTTATTTTCTGTATATGCCCCTAGACAAGGATTTAACCCCCCTAGGCACCAAGGATATTTTTGTAACAGCATTAGATAGGAGTAAATGGAGGTAATTGGTTTTTGTGACTTGACATCCTGGTGAAGTGTGAGCAAGGTAACATGAAAGGATACAGGAAAACCAGTTAGCCATGTTTCAGCCCTGGAGCTCAGAAATACAGTACCTGCACTCTGTATGAGGGATGACCACACTGCAGTTTTGAGGGTCATCTGATCAGTGATGTCAGCACAATTCTGGCAAGACAATGTTTAACCCTTTCAGGGTCAAAACCCCTGATCTGAAACATGCTCTCAGGGTTGAAGAATTCTTAAAAAAAAAAAAAAAAAAAAAAAAAAATCCCTCATGAAATGGTGGAAAATCTTTTTCCGAAGGTAATGAAACCAAAAGTACGAAATTTGATGGAAAACTAATGGAATTACGCTCACAAAGTTAGCGGTCCTGGCAATATAATTTGACGCATTGGTGATTTCGGCTACTTTGAGCCCTATTTTCAGCTGATCCCATTGTTCCAGCTGATCAAACTCATAGTTATTTCACTAGTATTCCTTCCATTCTATCAATTGAGTACAAGAAACTGCCCATTTACCTATTCCAACTACCGAGTAAAGTGATCAGAAATCAATAATTTGGCAAATTTCACACAAATTTAAAAATTACCAATTGAAAAATAGCGTTCAGAATAAACAATGTAGACTTCCCTGGCACTAAGAAAACATTTCCTCTGTTCACTAGTTACATCCCCAGGACCCTCTTATATTACTCTTACTTTCCATTTTGAATTTTTATTCACACAAAAATCAGAAGATTTAAGTTATGCAGACTACTGCATTATTGTAATAATTGTATAAATAATGTCACTGCATACCTAAATGCATATTAGACTGGCCAGTTGGAAGCCTATTGGACAAGTGATATTTGTGCACTCTGGAATATTTGCAAAAATTTAACATTTCTGTTACTTCTAGCTCAATTTCTGTAAAATATCTTCCATTCTTTCAAATGAGATCAAGAAATCGAGAAAACAACCATAAAAACTATACGAAGATATACAGTGGACCCTCAACCAACGGCATTAATCCGTTCCAGAGGGCTTGTCGTTGGTTGAAATTGCCGTTGGTAGAGTTAAATTTCCCCATAAGAAATAATGAAAATAGAATTAATCCATTCCTGACACCCCAAAGTCTGAATTTTTTTTATTTTTTTTTTTTACATGAAATATACATTTCCTTATGTGGAAAGGAATGGGACATGCAAAATTAACAATAATTAAATGCCACTTACCTTTATTGTGGAGTTGTTGATGGGTGATGTGCCAGCAGCAGGGGAAATTCAGAATTGTCTATTGCTTGGGAGGAGACTCCCCTTCTAGAAGAACTTCAGGTAGCAAGTCCTTTGGTGGGGTTACCTCCCTCCTTGGTTTTTTAATGCCACTAGGACCAGCTTGAGAGCCACTGGACCCCTGTTGCACAAAATAGCTGTCCAGAGAGCTCTGTTTCTCACGTGCCCTTAGGATTTCCCTAAATTGGGACACAAAAGTGTCATTGTACATGTTGCCAATATGGCTTGCAACTTTGGTGACAGGATAAAATTCTTCGATAAATGCTTGCACCTTTGTAAACATTGCAATTTCCTCTTGCAAGTCGTGAGGATGAACAGGAGAATTGTCCATTACCAGGAGGCACTTGAGTGGCAATTTCTTTTCCTGGAGGTATTTTGTCACAGTGGGGCCAAACACACCATAAAACCAGTCCAAGAAAAATACCCTAGTGACCCATGCCTTACTGTTTGATCTCCACAGCACACACAAAGTACCCTTGATGATATTGTTTTTCCTGAACACTCTGGGAGTTTCAGAGTGATACACCAATAAAGGCTTCACTTTGCAATCACCACTAGCATTACTACACAACATTAATGTCAGCCTGTCTTTCATAGGCTTATGTCCTGGGAGTGCCTTTTCCTCCTGAGTAATGTAGGTCCTGTTTGGCATTTTCTTCCAAAACAGGCCTGTTTTGTCACAATTAAACACTTATTCAGGTTTTAAGTTTTCAGTCTCTATGTATTCCTTAAAGTCCTTCACATATTTTTCAGCTGCATTTTTGTCTGAGCTGGATGCCTCACCATGCCTTACCACACTGTGTATGCCACTACAAATCTTAAATCTCTCAAACCAGCCTTTTCTGGCCAAAATTCATCATCAGCAGCACTATTTTGAAGCATTTTCTTAATGAGATCATCATGCAACTTCCTTGCCTTTTCATAAATTATAGACTGAGAAACACTATCACCTGATAATTGTTTTTCATTTATCCATACCAATAACAGTCTCTCTACCTCAACTATTTGTGGTCTCCGTTTTGAAAACATACTTGAACCTTTCGCAACAACAGCTTCCTTGATTGCCTGTGTGTTCGCCAAGATAGTATTGTTGGTTGATATGTGATTTGTTGTATTGCCTTTCCAACTCAGCCATACACATTCCACTCTCGTATTTTTCAGTGATCTCCTTCATTTCCATTGTAATTCTCACCCTTCTTAACACAGGCTTGGCACTAGAAGCTTGGCACTAGAAATAGTAGAATAATCCAAAATATATGGGAGGCACATGTGGAAACCGACCGCAACAGCTTGTAAACAATGGCACACTGACTCGTGGAGTGGCTGGGCCCGCTCAGGCCGCGCTCCGGGCACATCAACATGTTCCGGACAAACATCGTTGGTTAAGGCATTTTTTTCTATGGCAAAAAGCGCCGTTAGACGAAATTGCTGTTACTTAATGCCACTGTTAGTTGAGGGTCGACTGTACTGTAAAGCCACTGTTTTAAACTAAAAACATGGTCAGTTTTTTTTACTCCATTATGCACTGCTTTCTGCAGGATTTTTTTATATGGTTCACACTTACTGCATAAACGGTTATAATACAGCTACAAACTTCTCCATTTAGAATACCTATACCTCCTAAACCCAACCTCAACACCCTAGGATTTGACTCCTTCAGGGCATTTCTGGGTGAAGATGAAATTGTGTCATTGGAAAATCTACCTTCCACTGCAATTGACGACACAATCAGGTCCCTTCACAATTTAACAATTGATGCTACTAATGCAACTTGCCAATTAGCTTCCACAAAGATCTACCAACAATATAAACCTACGAGGGAAATTAGAGACAGTATGAGAAATTATCAAACAGAATGTCGAAGGCATCTTCAAACGTGGCAACCACCGGTAGCTACATTGTATAGATTGAGGCAAGAATTAATTAACATGATTAGTCATCATAAATGTGACTTATGGAAATTGCTAGTTCTAAAAGCTAATCAGTATAAACGAGAGCCTGCAAAATTTTGGAGTAAGATTCAGCAACTTTTAGGTGCAAAACACAAGGCTCCTACCTACCTAATTCATACCTTCACTGGTGATGATGATGATGGGGTTGAGATTAAATTTCATGATCCACAGGACCAAGCTAATTTGATGGGTGATGTATGGGAGAAAATTCTCTCCCACAATAACAGTCGTCGATTTAATGATAATCACTATCAGTTGGTCAATGAATGGAGAGATGAGAACTTAGCTGATCTACAACCACTACCTACCATCAATACATCAACTCTTGAAGACGCCCACCCGCTTACTAGACCTATCACACTACTTGAGATGAGTCAAGTTATTGGAAGAATGCGAAATAGAGTCCCTGGTCTCTCTAGAATAACAATAAAACAAATAAAGTTCCTATCCAAAAATTGTAAACAGTCTTTGGTTAATATCTTTAATGCCATCTTGGCCTCCGGACATTTCCCAGTGGTTTTTAAGACTGCTAGGATGATCTTTCTTGCTAAACCCAATAAAAACATCCATCAACCAGAAAACCTAGGTAGTAGGTTGGTAAACAGCAAGCGCCCAGGGAGGTACTACCATCCTGCCAAGTGAGTGTACAACGAAAACCTGTAATTGTTTTACATGATGGTAGGATTGCTGGTGTCTTTTGTCTGTCTCATAAACATGCAAGATTTCAGGTATGTCTTGCTACTTCTACTTGCACTTAGGTCACACTACACATACATGTACAAGCATATATATACACACCCCTCTGGGTATTCTTCTATTTTCTTTCTGGTTATTGTCCTTGTTTATTTCCTCTTATCTCCATGGGGAAGTGGAACAGAATTCTTCCTCCGTAAGCCATGCGTGTTGTAAGAGGCGACTAAAATGCCGGGAGCAAGGGGCTAGTAACCCCTTCTCCCGTATAAATTACTAAATTTAAAAGAGAAACTTTTGTTTTTCTTTTTGGGCCACCCCGCCTTGGTGGGATATGGCCGGTGTGTTGAAAGAAAGAAAGATCAACCAGAAAACTATAGACCTATATCCTTACTTGAAGTCACTGCAAAAGTTCTTGAAAATATCATTTCCAACAGAATGAACTACTATATGAAGTTTAACCACCTTTTTACTGAAAAACAGTTTGGCTTTAGGACACATAGAGGTACCCATCCTGCAATAAATATTATTTTTGATACTGTAGCGAGTCTGAAACATCAGGGCAATCTTTCCCTAATTGCCACCAGAGATATTCATAAAACTTTTGATAGTTTATGGCATGATGGTCTTATATACAAACTTATTGACCTACCTGACCATAACTTGACATTTCTCAGATTTATATATTACTTCTTAACTGAAAGAAAAATCATTCCTACCTTTCATGGAAAGACAACAGAGCCTTTTATACTGACAGCTGGTGTCCCACAAGGTTCTTGTCTTAGTCCAATTCTATTCAACATTTATGTGAATGATCTTCCTCAACCAGAGTTTAATGATACAATTATAACGCAGTTTGCAGATAATGTTATCCATGTTGTTTTGTCAACTCCTGTAACAGGAAAATACAAATATGAAAGAGTCGTAGAAAAAATGAATATTGAACTTCGTCATACATCCAATTGGGAAAAGAAATGGAGAATTACGACTAACCCTGACAAAGTCCTGGTTAGCACGATAGGATGTTTTGCATCAACCATCGAAGATAAGGGGGGTATCTCCATCAGAGGTACACCTGTAGCCATTAGAAATCCTAACAAGATCTTGGGATATGAAATAGACAGGCTGCTCCACTCAACATCTCACATCAATAAAAAGATCAATATAGCCAAAGCCAGTCTTAGCAGTCTCTTTAGATTTAATCAAGCCCCTTCATATGTCAAAAAACATCTGTATAAAATGATGATAAGAACATAAGAATGTAGGAACACTGCAGAAGGCCTACTGGCCCATGCGAGGCAGGTCCTTATCAAAACGACATCTACCTAAAGCTACTCAAGAAATAACTCCTGTACCCCTTGACACCAATCAAACCCAGCCCCTCCCACTCATATATTTGTCCAGTCTCTTCTTAAAGCTACCCAAGGTCCTAGCCTCTATCACCCCACTGGGAAGACTGTTCCACGCATCTACAACTCTGTTAGAAAACCAGTACTTACCTATGTCCTTTCTAAATCTAAATTTATCCAACTTAAATCCATTATTCATGGTTCTTACCTGGTTCGACACCCTCAGTACTTTATTAATGTCTCCCTTGTTTATGCCCGTCATCCACTTATACACTTCAATGATATCTCCCCTCATTCTACGCCTCTCCAGAGAGTGGAGATTTAAGGCTTTAAGTCTATCTTCATACGGGAGGTTCCTTACACAGTAAATCATTTTAGTCATTCTTCTCTATGTTCTCTAATGAGTCTATGTCCATCCAGTAGTAAGGGGACCAAAACTAAGCAGCATAATCTAAATGAGGCCTCACTAGTGATGTATAGAGCTGTAAAATAACTTTTGGACTTCTGTTACTTATACTTTTTGAGATAAATCCAAGTAATCTGTTGGCCTTGTTGTGCACACTAAGGCACTGCTGTCTTGGCTTTAGATTTCTGCTTACCATGACTCCCAAGTCTTTTTCACATTCTGTATGACCAAGCTCTACTTCACCTAGATTATAGCTTCGAGGGTTATTTTCATTACCAAGGGCAAGTACCTTACACTTATCCACATTAAACTTCATCTGCCATTTTTCAGACCAAGACATTAATTTGTTCAAATCGTCCTGGAGTTCATTGATATCCTCCTCAGAGTGAATTATACGGCCTATCTTTGTATCATCAGCAAACTTACTCATGTCACTAGTAATCCCTTCATCAAGGTCATTAATGTAAATTATGAACAAGAGAGGGCCTAAAACTGATCCTTGTGGAATGCCACTAGTGACTAATCCCCATTCAGATTTCACTCCATTAATGGTAACTCTCTGCTTTCTATTGGTAAGCCATGCCTCAATCCATGCTAGAACTTTACCTCCTATACCATGAGCTACCACTTTTCTTAAGAGTCTCTTGTGAGGTACTCTGTCGAAGGCTTTACTAAAATCCAAATAAACAATATCATATTCCTTATCACTGTCAACTGCCTCAAATGTTCTATTGAACGTCAGTAAGTTTGTCAGGCAGGAACGACCTCTCGTGAATCCATGCTGAGATTCATTTATCAAGTTATGCTCTTCAAGGTGACTTCTGATAATGTCAGCTATAATTGATTCTAATAACTTGCCCACTATAGATGTCAGGCTTATTGGACGGTAATTTGAAGGAGTGGACTTATCCCCTGATTTGAATATAGGAACCACATTAGCCATCTTCCACAACTCTGGCACAACACTGGTAAGGATGGACGCATTGAATACACTCGTTAATGGCTGACTAAGCTCCATCTTGCATTCCTTAAGTACCCTTGAAAACAACTCATCGGGTCCCGGGGACTTATTTTGTTTCAGTTTGTCTATCTGTTTAATAACCATGTCCCTCGTGACAGTAATATTAGTTAACTTAAATTCATCAGGAACTAAATAATTGTTAATTACTGGAATCTCATTTACATCTTCCTGTGTAAAAACTGACAAAAAATAGTCATTAAATAAGGAACACATTTCCAGTTCATTATCCGTCAGCTGTCCATTCCCAGATTTCAGAGGTCCTACTTTTTCTTTCACCTTCGTCCTATACACTTGAAAGAACCCCTTTGGATTAGTCTTTGATTCATTAGCAACTCTAATTTCATAGTCACGTTTAGCCTTTCTAATCGCCTTTTTTACTTCTCTTTTAAGCTGAACATATTGGTCAGTAAGGTTAACCTCTCCTCTTCTGATGCGCCTATAAATTCCCCTTTTCTCCCCTAATAGATGCTTTAGCCTCCTGTTAACCCATTTGGGATCGTTATTATTAGACCTAATTTCTCTCTGGGGAATGTATATACTCTGGGCACTGTGTACATTATTAAGAAAACAATCATAAAAGCAGATCCCTTCATATTCATAAGTATGATTATCGTCAATAAAATCATTAGCTAGATAACCCCAATCAAGATTAGACAGATGTTCCCTAAGTCCATTATAATCGGCAGAACGAAAATCAGGGATTTTTACTGTATTATCATTATTCTTGCATTCCCAATTAATGCTAAAGGTGATGGATTTGTGATCACTTGCGCCAAGCTCTTCAGTGATCTCCAGATTATTCACGAGTGTTTCCTTATTTGACAAGACTAGGTCTAGCAAATTATTACCCCTGGTAGGCTCAGTTACACTCTGTTTCAGAAAACAGTCAATTTGGCTAAAGTTAAAGTCCCCTACTATGACTATGTTACTGTGTCCAGAAGCCCTAACAATTTCGTCCCAAAGAAGTCTCCCTCTATCGTGATCCAAGCCTGGAGGTCGGTATATTACACCTAGAATTAGTTTTTCTTGACCCTCCACGAACTCTACCCAAACAGACTCTGTTACTGCTCCATCTATTTTTATACCTGTTTTTATGCAACAATTAATATTTTCTCGAACATACAATGCAACTCCTCCCCCCTTCCCATTACATCTATCCACATTGAACAACTTAAATCCCTGAATATTACACTCAGCAGTCATATCCCGACTCTTTAAATCATACCACGTTTCAGTTAATGCAATGATATCAAAGTTCCCAGCACATGCTACCAAACGTAGTTCATTAATTTTATTTCTTGCACTTCGACTGTTAGCATAAAATACCATCATGTGTTTTTTCTTCTGCACATTTTTCCTATTCATCTTTGTTTTTACACAATTTCTGAATTATCATTACCCAGAGTTACTCCATGACAGTTACTATTAAGATTCTTAATATCAGAGCATAAGTCAATATATCCATACTCATTATTAATCATTTCTAAACCCATACCTCTAACTAATCCTAGTTTAAAGTCCTAACAACCCCCTCAACTGAGTTAGCAAGAAAACCCACACCTGCCCTGGATAAGTGAACCCCATCCCTGGCATACATGTCATTTCGGCCATAGAAGTTGTCCCAGTTGTCAATGAATGGTACTGCATTATCCTTACAGTGTTTATCCAGCCAACAATTAATACCAATTGCTCTGGACAACCATTCATTACCAACACCTCTTCTTGGCAAAATGCCACATATAACAGGGCGCCCCCCCCTTCTTCCTAATCATGTCTATAGCTGTCCTGAACTTTCTAACTAAATCCTCACTTCTACGCTTGCCTACATCATTGCCTCTAGCACTGAGGCAAATAATAGGATTGATCCCATTACCGTTCATGATGTTGTCAAGCCGGCTAACAATGTCCTCCATCCCAGCCCCAGGAAAGCATACCCTTTGTCTCCTACTCCTGTCCTTCAAGCAGAAAGCCCTATCCATGTATCTAACCTGGCTATCCCCAACAACAACAATATTCTTACCTTCCTTGTTGTCGTTCGTCGTGACGATCCCAGTAGTAGACTCACATTCGTCGGGTAGCACCAAGAATGCGTTGGAGGTTTCCACGGGAGTTTCCACAGCAGTCTCTTTCTTCTTCATCGTTTCTGGCTTTCCATTCGTCTTCTTGATCGTCAACTTCGTCGTCCCCTGCTGTCCAGCCACTGACCACGATCCCTTCTTGACCTGAGGACTCGAAACAGGAGGACTACTACGAATCCTCTTGTTTTCCTCGGTCAATCGCCGTATCTCCATCTTCGCTGCCCTCAATTCTTCCTTAAGTTGCTGGTAAAGTTGCTCGATGGAGGGCATCTTGGTTCAGTGCACGGGAGCAAACAAGACACTTCTTCACAGAGTTAAGTACAGGTCACCAATACTCGAATACCCATGTGTCCCAATGTCGTTAACAACAAAGACCAACATGCTAAAGTTGCAACGGGTCCAGAATAGAGCTCTCCGCTTTATTACGGGTACCAGGAGGAGAGACAGAGTCAAAATGGCAGATTTACACGTACAACAGGATATTACTGCCTTAAATGTACACCTTGATATGCAATGCAAGAACTCTACATACCAGATAGAGAACATCCTCTCCAAGTTGAAAATACCACTGACTATATCATTAATACTCCTCACAGGGCCCAAAGAATGACTCTCCCACAGAGGGTGCGTCGCTTCATCCATAAAGACGATTACCATCGACCAATGATCCTGAGCAACCTCCCAGCAGATGAAGATGATTGGGTAACACCAGAACCCAATTAGGGAGACATCTTGTATAACACTTCTACTTCTACATCTACTGTTATAAATATGCTACATTTACTATGGCGGGACACCACCTTGAAAGAAGCTAACGTGTCAAGTAATTCTTTATGAACTGTCCAGATTACCACCTTGTCTTGTCATTTAAATATTCGTTATGCAATCAAAAAAAAAAAAAAAAAAATTGCAACTTGTATATACTATACTACCAATTCAGAGTCATGTACCTATATATCTGTTATATCTATATGACTCTGATGGGTTAGTATTATACCCCTTCAAGAATATTTTATTATTTCACATACACTTTTTAAATTGCACCAAAGTGGTTGGGCCACTTACCTTTTATATCCTACCTCACTTCCCCCTCCCACCCATTTCCAATATTTCTATCCTTACCCATCCTTCTTCCTTACCCATCTTACCAAAGACTCTGGTCATAAGAATCGAATCGAAGCCATTCTCTTATCTCTAGGCCCAAATTTACTTCTCACATCTTACCTGAGTGAGCTGAGTTCATGGCGTAAAACTACGGAACCGGCCCTGGCTTTAGAGCTGTAGTACTGTGGGACCAACCCTGAAAGGGTTAAATGAATGACAGCAAGTGTTTTTTTTTTTTTGGGGGGGGGGGACAGCCTTCCTCTGTGTAAGATGGCTGATGTGTTTAAAAAATGCTAAGGGGCATTTTTTAAAGTTTGTGTAGGTATTGGTAACTTCTAAGTTTGTTAGTATTTCTTTGAAAGATAAATATGCCTTGTTAGTCACCATTATAATTTATTTAAGCAGGTTACAGAAACTGTTTTCATGAAAATGTATATACCAGAACAGCTTTTTACTATCACTGTTGTTAATAATGGTTTAGTCCTAATTTTTAAAATACAGTGCTCCCCACAAAATTCTAAGGGTTTATTTTCATATAGGTCCCAAAATCTACAACCAATAAATAATACATAATTATTTTCCTCATAGAAGAAGCTATGACAAGCTAATTCTAAAACTAGGAGGCCAGTGCTCTAACTGCTTTACCATACTGGCCTAATAAAATTCATCTAACTAGGGGTTCGAATCCTGCCCACTCAATGAGTTATTTACAATTGTGTTATTTTGATTTCACAAGTTGGTAATACAAAATTGCTGTAATCTAGGTAACATTAACATTTCATTAGAAAGAACATCCAGTATAGAGACTTGAGTTGTGAAAATTGAGTGTCTTTGAGCACATTTTGAGTAAAATCCTATGGTTAATATGCAGTTTAGGGATCATGAACCAAACTTGAAAAATGAATACTGTAATGTGAGAAAATCCATTGATAATCTAATTTATTTGTAGGTTGCCCATCAGATAATTGGATTGGATAATCAAATACCATTGGATAATCAAATTCCACAAATTAGGAACCCTATGAATGTGTAGAGATGAATGATTTATGATGTAATTACCACAATTTTGTCGGTACGTTTATTGCTGTATTGTGGCACATGAGATGCACTGGTGTGTAGGATGCACTTTTAATTCAGCATAAAATATGATGGAGAAAAAATGACCATGGTCTTGTTTGGTGAAATTGGTGGTTGTGGTTGGCTGCTCTATTTAGCTGCACATACGATTTGTTGGTGTCAGACTCCGTTGTCAATACCAAAACAAAAAATTGGCTTCCAGATGTTTACAGTGGACAGACAGTTGTTGTGTTTGTTGAGTATTACACAGTTATTGAAGCATTTAGTGCTTTATGGTTTGTTTTATTTTATAATGCACTTTTACACGTTGATAAAGGAAACGTACAGGTAACACTAGTAATTGGTGGAAATCCGTAAACACCTTCGATGAGTGGTTTGCTTGATCACTGCTGGTAGCTTAAAGAATTATTACAGTCATTTATTTGTTTATTTGTTATTCAAAGTCATTTACTGATTTAATTATTATTGTTTTAATTGTTCTTTTTACTAAATGGAATTTTTCATGTAATGTACCATATACTCATTTTGAAGTTGTTTGTATTGTTTAACTAGGGGAACACCATGACCCCAAGCCTTTCCTTCACGTTATAGGATGTAGGGTGATTTTGAAGGTCAAATTTTGAAAAAAAAAAAAAAGTGTACTTTATATGCACCAAAATAGGGTAATTTTATATTACATATTGAGTAATTCATCAGATGATTAAAACCTGTAGCGGATTTTCCCTGACGAATGACCAAAAATCAGCAACCAAAGTTATTTGTTAGATTACTGTACAAAAGCATATTAAACAATGAGATTGAGCATATCTGTAATAATCTTTTAATTTTTTCTAATTGGGTTTCTTTTTAGATTAGTGATTTGGGAATACAGCAGTTAGTAAGCGGAGGAGTTGGTCATAGTCTGCGTGAACTACGTATTGATGGTTGTGCACGTCTTACTGATGATAGTATTGAATCAATTTGTAACTGTTGTAGCCACCTTAACATTCTGTGTTTCCATCACTGCCCTAGACTGTCAGGTGAGTGACTGCTAGATATCCATAGTGTAGCCTTTGCTTGACCAATTTAACCTTATAAATATGCCATCTAATTTCCTCAAACATTTCATTTTATATAGTGAAACTGTATTACAATATTGAAAGGAGTTGGATACCTGAGCTGCTTTATTAGTAGGTCACTATGTTATCTGCAATGATGAGGTAATGATATATACTGTATATTTTACTATTTATTTATTTATGTATGTATATATATTGCTTCCTTATGTACTTTGCAGAGCGTTCTAGAGAACTAGTGGATGAATATAAGGCGTGGAGAATGAAGCAGCTTACATGGACTGTGTACTGATTTGGGTGTAGTATTGACAACAGAAGAGTATTAATCATCTGTTCTATCCTTTCTGTCTGCCAGTTATAGTCATATCAGTTTTTTTCTTCACTCTTTCAGTGGCAGATAATACTTACAATCTTCTGATTTCCACAAATATTCAGATTGCACCTTGACCCACATGGGTTTAGCACATCACAGTATGGGTTCCCATATTTGCCAGGTTAAGTTTCTGGAGACTTGCAATTATGGAAAAGTCTTTGAAAGTAATGTATGCAGTATGTTCACTGATATTGTTGATGGTGGTCCTATGGTTCATGTACTGTGTAGTGGGTTCCACTAACAATTACTATGTGGTTTATGAGTACACTATGCTATGGTAAATTCTAACTGTTGTACTCCTTATACTTTATTGTATTGAGATACGGTCTTACTGCTGTGCTCACTGTACTAACCTGCAAGTAATGCATGTTGAAATATCACATCAACAATGAGCATAATGTACTTTGAAGAAGTCTCCATTAATTCCAACCTTTTTCACTAGAATATTCTTTGTCATTACTCTTGGGGCAATTAGTTCATTTATTACCTTCCTCTCTAGGGGTTCATGGTTTGTGGCAGGATGGAGAAATGAAAGTGGTTGTATTATGGTTGATGTATCTATCTTGGAGAGTACCAGTCTTGGGAAATAGTCTGGTGGGTAACCAGGTCTATTAGTAAGTAGCCTTATTCTTCAAGGTCCCTTATCTTTCTTCATTATTATACCATTACTAGAAATCCTACTCATAGTCATTTCAGATTATCTGCCACCTCTCTTTCCACCTTCATGTCTCTTCACAATTGCCTGGAAAACCTCTCTCATTGGCCCCCACTGTTATTGGAGTTTACCTTCCATTGTGAGACACTGACAGTGAAATGTTTGCTGATAAACATGCCCTCATTTGTAATTGGTTGATCAGAAGGTCACTTAATATAAATTGTGTGACTTGAGTTCAGATTGTCTGCATACAGGATGTCTTACAAACTGATACCCTTTCCTAACTGCAGGTGATGGCTGGCACATCTATTACTGTCATTTGTCATGCCCACACTTAATTCAAAATGTTGGAAAATCGTCCTTCCTCAGAAAGATACCCATAGTTTACTTGAGCTTCAAGGCCTCAGTTTCCAGAGTATGTCTTTCTAACATCATGGTCACTATTTCTATTTAAGCAGTGTAGTCAAAATTTCATATTGCTGTTACTCCCACTCATTGATGGTCTATCTGGCAGATCAGCAGTTCCAGAACTGTAAATCTGAGTGAAGAAATGCTTGAGGTCTAGGCACCTAACAACTCAGATCTATATAAAAAAATATAGGCATATAGGTATAAATCACAGAACAAGTTTGGCTCTGAATTCATGGTAGATGAGTGCTAAAATTCCCAGGCCAGTGTGCTGACCCACTCTTTGATGTGTTTGTAATTGTGTTGTAATTTTGTAGCTCATATAGGTATAATTTGAATACAGTAATACTTTTACAAAGCTCCTATATTTTTTTTAACAAACTGGCCATATCCTACTGAGGCAGGATGACCTAAAAAGAAACTGAAGTTTCTCTTTTTAAATTTAGTAATGTATACAGAAGAGGTTTACTAGTCCCGTGCTCCCAGCACTTTAGTCACCTCTTACAACATGCATGGCTTATGGAGGAAGAATTCTGTTCCACTTCCCCATGGAGATAAGCAGAAAAAAACAAGAATAAGAGCTAATAAGGACATAGAAGAAAACCCAGAGGGGTGTGTGTATATATTCTTCTTTCAACACACTAGAAGAAGAACTAGAAAGAAAATAGCAGAAAACCCAGAGGGGTGTGTATATATATGCTTGTACATGTATGTGTAGTGTGACCTAAGTGTAAGTAGAAGTAGCAAGACATACCTGAAATCTTGCATGTTTATGAGACAAAAAAGACACCAGCAATCCTACCATCCTGTAAAACAATTACAGGTTTCCATTGTACACTCACTTGGCAGGACAGTAGTACCTCCCTAGGTGGTTGCTGTCTACCAACCTACTACCTAGGAGAGTTCCTATTATGTTCAGCACCTTGAACAGTCCTTAACACAGGTAGACAGTTAAATGTGTTCATATCAGTGAAAGGCAAAATTGTTTGAGTGGGCATCATAAAAATTCTAGATAGTACAAGATAAAGATAATCTGCCACTCAGTGACACTGAGAATTATCAGGTTGTCTTGACAGTTCAACATATCTTGATCATTTGTCTTGTCCATTGGAGAGCCTGCTAATTTAATTTTAGGTGCCTTCTCCAATGCCACGACATGCTAACTTTGCTTGCCATCCTCTCTGGTGGTCCCACCTTTGCTACAAACTCTTTCCAGTTTCTTAACTGACACTAATTTGCTTCATCACCTGTAACCACCAGCCCTTCCCTCAACACCTCCATTTCTTTCCTCCCCCACCATCTCCTTTACCTGTGCCATACACCACTCTATAACCTTTATGGGTTTACTGCTTTTATATTTGTAAAAGGCATTTAAGTTCTGCTGATTGCCCATGAATGCCCATTTTGACCCTGTCAGTGCTCTCTGCTTTGTGTGAGGGGTTACTTTACATTTTCTAGTCAGTGTCATCAATTTTTAAATGCAAATGTGAATTTTATTTTCTACTGTGTGAGGAGGGAAACCCTCCCATCATGTAACTGAGCACTAGCTTGTCTTCAGTAAGGCTTGTAGTATTTTACATATTCCAGCTTGATCTGTCATCCTGACTCTTGCACTGTTTTCTTCAAGTTCTACTGCCCCAGTGTACCATTGTTTTCTGGTATTTTCTTTGATTGCACCTACTTTACACTACTTAGTATTTTCATTTTCTCATTCTGCCCACTACCATAATGGAGGCAAGGGTTAATGTGCCCCCATCCACTATCAAAATCAGATATAGAAGTGCATATCTGGCTTTTGCTTCCATCACCATCACACATCCAAAGACTTAATGTTCATTTTGTAACTTTGTGTTTAACCCTCATCTACTCCTTTTTTCATTCTTCTCTCTGTTCTTTCCAAATGCAGTTTGTGATGTCTTAGACATGGAGACATTAGACAGTTTTAACTGCTTGTATTGGGGCTACTACCCTGACAGCCTCTCACTCATGTAGGCAGTCTCTTGCCTTAAGCACCTGGCTATTAATTTGCAAGACACTAGAGAACATTGCATCTTTTCCTTCTGTCCACTCTACTACATTTTCCCCATTTCTTGTCCTGTCAGTCTGCATCTGCTACTGTGCATGCTTGCCATGGTGTTTAGTGTTTCTCTACACATTGAGCTTTTGACAAGTCTTGTGTTTAACTGCTACTACCTCATGACCTCCCTTATTTTGATTGACTGCCCTATCTTTTTACCAGTATGTTTTTTTTTTTTTTCATTTATTTTTATTATTATTATCACACTGGCCGATTCCCACCAAGGCAGGGTGGCCCGAAAAAGAAAAACTTTCACCATCATTCACTCCATCACTGTCTTGCCAGAAGGGTGCTTTACACTACAGTTTTTAAACTGCAACATTAACACCCCTCCTTCAGAGTGCAGGCACTGTACTTCCCATCTCCAGGACTCAAGTCCGGCCTGCCGGTTTCCCTGAATCCCTTCATAAATGTTACTTTGCTCACACTCCAACAGCACGTCAAGTATTAAAAACCATTTGTCTCCATTCACTCCTATCAAACACGCTCACGCATGCCTGCTGGAAGTCCAAGCCCCTCGCACACAAAACCTCCTTTACCCCCTCCCTCCAACCTTTCCTAGGCCGACCCCTACCCCGCCTTCCTTCCACTACAGACTGATACACTCTTGAAGTCATTCTGTTTCGCTCCATTCTCTCTACATGTCCGAACCACCTCAACAACCCTTCCTCAGCCCTCTGGACAACAGTTTTGGTAATCCCGCACCTCCTCCTAACTTCCAAACTACGAATTCTCTGCATTATATTCACACCACACATTGCCCTCAGACATGACATCTCCACTGCCTCCAGCCTTCTCCTCGCTGCAACGTTCATCACCCATGCTTCACACCCATATAAGAGCGTTGGTAAAACTATACTCTCATACATTCCCCTCTTTGCCTCCAAGGACAAAGTTCTTTGTCTCCACAGACTCCTAAGTGCACCACTCACTCTTTTTCCCTCATCAATTCTATGATTCACCTCATCTTTCATAGACCCATCTGCTGACACGTCCACTCCCAAATATCTGAATACGTTCACCTCCTCCATACTCTCTCCCTCCAATCTGATATTCAATCTTTCATCACCTAATCTTTTTGTTATCCTCATAACCTTACTCTTTCCTGTATTCACCTTTAATTTTCTTCTTTTGCACACCCTACCAAATTCATCCACCAATCTCTGCAACTTTTCTTCAGAATCTCCCAAGAGCACAGTGTCATCAGCAAAGAGCAGCTGTGACAACTCCCACTTTGTGTGTGATTCTTTATCTTTAACTCCACGCCTCTTGCCAAGACCCTCGCATTTACTTCTCTTACAACCCCATCTATAAATATATTAAACAACCACGGTGACATCACACATCCTTGTCTAAGGCCTACTTTTACTGGGAAAAAATTTCCCTCTTTCCTACACACTCTAACTTGAGCCTCACTATCCTCGTAAAAACTCTTCACTGCTTTCAGTAACCTACCTCCTACACCATACACTTGCAACATCTGCCACATTGCCCCCCTATCCACCCTGTCATATGCCTTTTCCAAATCCATAAATGCCACAAAGACCTCTTTAGCCTTATCTAAATACTGTTCACTTATATGTTTCACTGTAAACACCTGGTCCACACACCCCCTACCTTTCCTAAAGCCTCCTTGTTCATCTGCTATCCTATTCTCCGTCTTACTCTTAATTCTTTCAATTATAACTCTACCATACACTTTACCAGGTATACTCAACAGACTTATCCCCCTATAATTTTTGCACTCTCTTTTATCCCCTTTGCCTTTATACAAAGGAACTATGCATGCTCTCTGCCTATTTTTCATTATATTTTTTTAATTTTTTCATGTCTAACATGCAATGGAATTTTATGAGAATCTTGCAGTTATTACCTATACAATATACATTTGTTTTAAAGAAACCAATATTCATCACACTGTTAGCTTTTGGTCTCCAGCTATGCTCTCTTAAAAGTTCTTGACTAGTGTCTTGGCATCTTACACAATCTCAGTGCACTTCTTAGGAAAATGCTGACTGTATTAGATGCTCAGTATTTTATATTTAGACTAATATACTGTACTACAGCCCTTGTATAACACAGTCTTCCTTATAACTCTTCTCATCTTGTTCCTTGTCTTTAGGTGACTCCAGGCTCTAGTTTCCTCTTTAACTAAACTGCTCCTGCTCTTAGACTTGTTTAGTTACCATCATTTCCTTTATGACTGGTGAACTGCTGAAGTCTTTCTCTCACTCCCTTTGTCTTTGCATATCTTACATTCCAGAACCTATACTAATTATACTAATTTCAGTTGTGACATCTCTGTTTACAATCTTCTCTTGCTTTAAACTCTGATTGGACAGTTGTAGATGATCTACATGACAGCAATTGTTTCCTTATTGTCTTTACCTCCCACTTCTGTACTCGTCCTCTTCACTGGTCTTCCTTTTGACAATTCTCCCATTGATGGGAGTTGCATCCTTCATCACTTTCATCTTCTCAGCTGCCTCACTTGCTATTCTTGTGACATACATGTGACCGGTTTTGAGTTATACTTCTGCTAGCTATCATGTGGTCACTTTACTGTGATAGTGAATAGTGACACTTATGTATAGCTCAGGACATTTATTGAAGGAAACATTTCACCATGAGTGGCTTCATCAGGACTGAGGCCATTGAGGATTGATAAAGCCACTCTTGGCAAAATGTTTCTTTTAATAAATGTTATAAACTGCACATTTTTGTCTGTCTACAGCTTACTGGTCATCACCATACCATTTACAACCATTTTCTCTGACTGCCTGGTCAACCAAGTGATTGTTGCTTGCAGACGAACATAGCCATCACAGCCCAGTTTCTAAGGCATTTCCTAAAGAAATTTGTATATAGTTTGTAACTAATGACTTACGTCTTTGTGCTGGCAGTGTTTCTTATATCTGTTGGTACAAGATTGATGAGTCAACGATCTCAGATATAGACATAATATTTTTCTCTAATTATGATTATGCTATCTACTTTTCATTGGATTTACTTTGCATTTCCTCCTCATCCCAGCAAGTTGTTACTTTGTTCTGAGACCTTGGACCTATGTGGGGAGATAGGCAATTTGTTAAAACTACTGTATTGAGTAGGATCAGTGCATGATAACTTACTAGAAGTAGTAACATCAAAAAGAAGAATTAGTCTATGACATCACAGTATGCTGTCTCCTTCACTGAATACCACAAGGCCTATATTTACTGTACTTTTAAATATATTCCCTCCAGGGGGGGAAAATAAGACTACCAGTATTACAGTGGTACCCCGAGTTTCAGCCATAATTTGTTCCAGAAGGCTGTTCGAGTGTCAGTACCGAACGAATTTGTTCCCATAAGGAATAGTGTAAATTAGGTTAGTCCGTTTCAGATCCCCAAAAATACACTTACAAAAGGACTTACAATAATACACTTACATAATTATTTGAGTTGGGAGGTGGCCAAAACTCAGGGTACCACTGTATTATTAATTAATGTAGTTACATCTCTTAAATGCTTGATGAGTGATTATTTTCCTTTGTCTAGTGGATCTCTAATAGAGTTAAGAATTCCCTAGGAGGACCACATGTGGCCTGAGGGTATTCATAATCATTGTAGCATCTGGATGTAATAGAGTGGCCCTTATATTTTAAGTTTTGGTATATTTAAACTTTCAGTTATTATTATTATTTTATATATATATCTATATATATATATCCTAGGTAGTAGGTTGGTAGACAGCAACCGCACAGGGAGGTACTACCGTCCTGCCAAGTGAGTGTAAAACAGAAACCTGTAATTGTTTTATATGATGGTAGGATTACTGGTGTTCATTTTTTTGTCTCATAAACATGCAAGGTTTCAGGTATGTCCTGCTACTTCTACTTACACTTAGGTCACACTACACATACATGTACAAGCATATACGTATATACACACCCCTCTGGGTTTTCTTCTATTTTTCTTACTAGTTCTTGTTCTTGTTTATTTCCTCTTACCTCCATGGGGAAGTGGAACAGAATTCTTCCTCCATAAGCCATGCGTGTTGTAAGAGGCGACTAAAATGCCGGGAGCAAGGGGCTAGTAACCTCTTCT